GCCGGCGAGGTTTTAATTATGATTTTAATAATGGAGCTCGAACCAACCTCTCGCTGCCGGTGCCATCGACTGCCCCCCTGTGCTGTTTTTCCAGGCCTGATGAGGGGGGGGGGGGGGGGGGGGGGGCCGGGAAGGCAGTTCTGTTGGCAGATGGGGGCCAGGAAAGCAGTTCTGATGGCAGATGAGAGAGCAGACGGATCGGCGCTTGCGAGCGCTTGACATTTTGGGGGGAAAAAAAGAAAAAAAAAATCCAATCCAAGCTCGCTTACTTTGCTGTCTTTATCTGGGAGCAGGTGATGGGGTTCCGCCAGCTGGTTTGTCATCTTAAGCTCTTTGCAAGCTTAAGACTTTGTTTGTTTTGGGCTCTCAGAAGTGCCATTCAGTCTCGTGGCGGAGTTAATAACACGGTGTGATTTCTCCAGAGCACAGATTGCTGCTGGAATGTGCTGCCTTTATCTGGAAATAGACCCGTCCTCAGGTTCCAGCACGCAGATGCCCGGAGAGTTTCCTTCTTGTCCATCTGCCTCGGCAACGAGCTGGGTTGGGTGTCAGTCCAGCTTCTGGGGGGAACCACAGCCAAGCTGGATGATGGGTGGTGGGATTCCTGCTTTATCCGCCTTCCCGGCAAACTGGGAGAGATGTGAGTAGGGAGGAGTGAGAGAAAATAATGGGAAAGGAAAGGGAGCAGGCTGAAGGCAAAGGAAGCGGGAGGAAAGGTGGGGAGGCCAAGGAAGGAAGCAAGAACTGTGAAACGGAGAGCTGAGATGTGAAGCACAGGCAGGAAAGGGTTCGTGAGGAACGGCTGAGCTGCGTGGAGTGAAATTCAATTCTCTCCAAATCCATAGTTAACACCAGCGAGGAACCTGCCCCCATTTGTTCCTGGCCTCCCAGCACTGCCATTTCAGAGAACTGGAGCCTATCCCTGTGCTCAGCACTGGTGAGGCCACACCTGGAGTGTTGTGTCCAGTTTTGGGCACCTCAATACAAGAGAGATATTGAGGTGCTGGAGTGGGTGCAGAGGAGGGCAACGAAGCTGGTGAAGGGCCTGGAGAACAAATCATATGAAGAGCGGCTGAAGGAGCTGGGACTGTTTAGTATGAGGAAGAGGAGGCTGAGGGGAGACCTCATCACTCTCTACAACTACTTGAAAGGACACTGTAGAGAGGTTGGTGCTGGTCTCTTCTCACAGGTAATTAACGACAGAACGAGAGGGAACGGCTTCAAGCTCCAACAGGGCAGGTTTAGATTGAACATTAGGAAGGAATTTTTCACTGAAAGAGTGGTCGGGCATTGGAACAGGCTGCCCAGGGAGGGGGTGGAGTCACCATCCCTGGCTGTGTTTAAGGGCCGTTTAGATGCAGTGCTGAGGGACATGGTGTAGGGGAGGACTTTGTAGAGTAGGGGAGATGGTTGGACTCGATGATCCCAAGGGTCTCTTCCAACCTCAATGATTCTATGATTCTATCAGAAGGGTAAGGGAGAGGCTTTTTTTGGATGACGAGAGGGTATGACGTGATGTTTAGGGGGCAGACCCTGCAGACAGAGGCAGGGCTGCAGCTCTGGGCACTTCTGCAACGGCAGAAAGTGGCTTTAGTGTTTTGGTGTAAACCGTGGAACTCCTCCCTTGTCCTGATTTCATTTCAGTGATGTATTTCTCAGAAAAGGGGCAAAACAGCCCTCTCACAAGTTTATCCCTGGTAAAACTGGTTTTCCCCAAGGTTGCTGTTATGTTTTTAAGTTCACAGAGGATACACTATCTCCTTGGCACATACCAAAGAGCGTAAACCCCGGCTTTAAACCCAAAACTCAGTTCAGCCCTTGGCTGGGATTCACAAAGCGGTTCCTTCATGCCAGTGAAAGGGCTATAAACTGGGGAAGCTCGTTTTCAATAGAGGCCTCTGAAACTGCGGAGTTTGGGGATGTAAGAGCACCATTGTGCCTAACGGGAGCACGTGGAGGAGGATTTGAAAGCTGGGGTCACGTCTAGTTGACTTCTGTTCATTTACAAACCGGTTGCGTAGAATGGGGATGGAAAGCGGCAAACGCACACAAGTCTCAGGATTTGGGTTGCCCTGGACTTATTTGTCCAAAATATCAGAATCATGATGTCACTGGAAGCTGGGGGGGGGGGTGTGTGTGCAATTAGTGGAAAAATGCCATGTGCGTCCTTGATGATGAGGAAGGGATCTTGTGTATAGAGTCTGGAGTTGTTTAACAGGGTGACGTTTTGGGTGAGAATCACAGAATCTTCATAGTTGGAAGGGACCTTTGAGAACATCGAGTCCAACCACAAAAAAAACAAACAAACAAACAAAAAATCCCAACCCTACAAACAGACAAAACCCAACGATCTGGGGCACTAGAGCATGCCCTGAAGTGCCACGTCTACGTGTTTATTAAATCCCTGCAGGGATGGTGACTCCACCACCTCCCTGGGCAGGCTGTTCCAGTGCCTGACCACCCTCTCAGGAAAGTCATTCTTCCTGATATCTTCAGACCATGGACTAAGCCCACTCGGTTTCCTAAAATCCCTCTGTGTGAGATCTGTGCGTTTGGCCACAAAATAGGGGTAGGAATCGGGCAGCTAGATATAGATACACATTTTGGGGAGGGTTTATTCACCAGGGACACAGCAAAATCACCTGGCGTGTGGGGTCCTGAGATGGTCCCCCGTGACAGTGCAGGGGTAAATGTGTGATTGTGATGGGGGGAAGGACCATCAGAGTCCAGTTTGATGGGTCCAGGGAGCACAAACGTCATCTCTGCCTGAAAAGACCCATGATCTGCTGCTCCGGGGGGTATGACAAGGCAGCCTCCTGGAAAATAGCACTCCCAGCCCCGTGCAAAGGAATCAAACGAGGAACAAGGCTATTACCTCGTGTCAAACCGCGTCTAATAAAGAAATGGAAATCCCCTGCTCTGCCACAAAGACCGAGGAGAGGTAGAGATCATGCTGTGACACAAATAAAGCAGTAGCGCAACAGAAATGGAAAAACAGGGGCCCAGACATTAGGAGAAAATATCAGACCTTGAAATGATTGCCTGTCTTAAGCAATAGACTATAAAAAAAAAAAAAAGACGTATGTTACAAATACGATCCGGCTGTGTAATCTGGTTTTGCTATTACACAGAAATGGATTTGGGACCGTAAACTGTTAAATTCGATGTGTCTGTCCCTATTTTTCTATCACCTTAGGAAAAGCCAATGCCAACAAATATCTGCACCTGGGGAGCCCTGTGACTGTTCGTTACCAGATACGTGAGGCATTAGCAGAGATATTTATTTGGAGGTTCTGGCTCTTTTTTTTTTTCCCTCTGTGCTGTTAAGACATCCCTGGTGTCTCTCGTTCTTCTGATAAGCTCTGAGGGTCCAGACCCGCATCCCGCTCCGTCTTGTAGAGCATCACGAAATAAATGGGGCTTTTTATCAGTGAAAGGAACCCATCTGTAGAGGTCCACTTGGCAGGATCTCGCCCATGCCAGGGCTGGAGATTCCTCAGTGCTGTTCTAGGTGAGTGTAGTGTCCAGGTTCTCTTGCTCCTTGATTGTTGCCAAGATGAACGGCGTTGCTTCTGCACGCATTTTCCACCCTGAATTTCTTTCCCTCCGACCTAGCCAGTACTTTTGTGACCACCGGGACCAGTGAAGTGTCATTTCCCTAGGGGATAGTTGACAACCCCACACCCCCCCAGTGGATTCCCTGGTGTCTGTAGGACTCAGGATACGGTTGCCCTATGCGCAAGAACAGTAAAAGATACCGCCTCTTCTACACAGTCTTCTATTTTATCTGAAATTTGTAGGTGTCAAACTTAATTAAAATCGTTTAGCTGGCTCAGAAGTTACTGGGTTGGCCACGGAGCACAACAGCACGAGCCGTGGAGGAAGGACAGGGAACTGCTGGAGAGGGGACAGCAGAGATGATGAGGGGCCTGGAGCATCTCCCTTATGAGGAGAGGCTGAGGGACTTGGGTCTTTTAGTCTGGAGAAGAGAAGGCTGAGGGGGGATCTGATCAACACCTATAAATACTTCAAGGGTGGGTGTCAGGACGATGGGGCTTTTTTCAGTGGTGTCCATGGATAGGACAAGAGGAAATGGGCACAAACTTGGACGTAGGAAGTTCCACCTAAACATGAGGAGGACCTTCTTTGCTGTGAGGGTGGCAGAGCCCTGGAAGAGGATGCCCAGGGAGGTAGTGGAGTCTCCTTCTCTGGAGACATTCCA